AGAAAACTGAGAAAACTTACTTCAACTTAAAACTAAAAATAAATATACTGGTTAAGATGTATACAGGAATAGTAAAATCACCTATGAGACATCCCCATGTTATTAGAGAATGAAAATATACAAGCTGGGCAAGGCAATCTCTATGATACCTTTTATGAACTGCCTCTTTATTTGAACTATTCCAGACAATTAGTAGTTAATTTACAGTTCAATATTTTGGAACTTAAATTCACATAGCAGATTGTACAATGCACTGTCAAACATACAATATGCAGGTCAGATATTATGTTCCAATTCAGTTTGAAGAAGAGGAAACAGACACAGTTTGCTTAGAGTTAGCAGCAGGACAGCATGTGAATCGCTATGTACTGCTTCTAAAATGATATTCTTCACACCAATCCCTTCACTAAGAATAATAGAAGACAAAGATGCTAACTGAACTTAATTCTATATTTTAGTGGTAATATGAAAATACTAACTGAAATCTGTACTTCAATTAAATAATAATATGAGCCTTATAATTCTCTATTTGTACGTTTAAGCAAATGCATACTATTCTTATCATGTTTGGACTTCTGCATACCTTTCTGTTCTTCATTTTTGGGTGGATTACTTTCTCTTAAGTCCTCTTCCATTCTTTCTTGTGCTAATTTTTTTGCTTCTTGTTTTTGGATCTTTCTTTTCAATTTTTTATCTTCTTTCAGTCTTAGCTTCTCTAGGCTGATAAACATTTACAATTAGTGATAATTTACCTTTGTTAATTGCTCAATGAACTACTTTCTGTTGCCTACTATAGAAAACATTCTCCAAGCAATAGGCTGTGACTTTTAATTAAGAAAGCTATGTATAATTTGTATAGATGTTATTTCCATGTACATAATGTATATAAATTACTTCCATATATATAACATATATAAATTATTTCCACATATATAATGTATATAAATTACTGTGTACGGTAAATAAGAACAGTACATGTACTCTGCAAGCAAGATCCCATAATAAAATATTATTTTCACCCCAATAACAACATGGGAATTTGGTTGATTTGGTTACACTGATTCCTTTTCAACAAATAATTCTATACATCTTTTCTTTTGGTTTTTCTTGGTCACAAATTATAAGAAAAAAAATCACTTTTTAGGATGAAAAACAAGAAGCAGGACAGAAAAGAAAAGAAAAAAGGATTGGAATTATTTGATCTGAACAGAAAGATACAGATGTGAATAATTTTGACAATACACTAAGTATTTCAAGGTAAGAAATAGTCATTGGTTCAAAATGTTTGGTGTAGAAAGATAAAAAAGCAAAAATGCTTTTGAAATTAAAAGCCAAAAGCTAACTATATAATTTTTGTTAAATGCCAAATCTGTTGAAAGTAATTTCACAACATGAAATGTTATAATTTTACTTACAAGTTCAACCACTAAATTGTGACTTTTTCAAATTTTCAGTATTTAATCATTCTAATGCTAGTTCTGTTTTAAATATCCATAAAAATAATTTTTAAAATACTTATTTATATATGTGTGCACAGCCAATTTTAAAAAATAGCACAATTTAGAAATCTGCATTTAACAGAGTTATATACTAAGAGACAATATAAAAACTACTGATTGATTGTTAAAAATCTTACCTAGAACATTTCTGTTTCAGAATAGGTCTTGGAGGAACCTTTTCTTTTATGACCTTGTGTTCAAACTTTAAATAAAACAAAGACATCCAAAATTTGTCTCATACTCCCATGACATAAAGCACAAAACCACAAGTAACAAATATTTCAGAAGCACACACAATGTTCAATTTGATAGAGAACAGTGATGATGTTTTGACCCAGACAAAAGCCCAGAAAGCTTTAGCAAAATAATTTACTGAAAAGAGGAACAAGAGAGTGGACACACTTTATGAAGAAACTTTAAATAATTAAGGGTAAGCAGAAGATCCAATTAATTATATATATTATAATTACCCACTCCTGCCACATTCAGATGGTGATGTTAAAGGTAATCCCTCAAGGCACTCTTCCCCTTCTCTAAAACCCACACCTCCACCACTACCCCTTTTGGGGTATTAATAAAATGGAAGTTATCAAAAAGAGTAAAACCAAAATATAAAAAGTGTGCTTTTCCTAGGAGGAAATAAAAGAATATGAAAATGCTTCACTGCAATGCATGTTCTAATATTTATTTTCTTAAATAACTTTTTTTTTCTTACAAAAGACAAGATTCAAATCACACAACTTCCTTGAACTTAAAACATTTTAACAGGTGTAAACATTTTGGTTACAAATTTAATAAAGTTTCTCCTTTATTAGATACTTACTTCACATTTAACTTGACCACCACTGCTAAAGATGATAATCTTAGAAATGATACCTTCACAGTCAGGGGTAAGACAAATTCCTTGTAGAAAATCCTATTTGATTTAAAAGAAGAAGAATGTTATGTGTAGGAGGGATAAATCTATGCATGTATACCATTTTTTTAAACTTCGTTTTTAGCTGTAGATGGACACAATACCTTTATTTTATTTATTTATTTATTTTTGTGTGGTGCTGAGGATCGAACCCAGTATCTTACACATGCTAGGTGGGTGCTCTACCACTGAGGCACAATCCTAGCCCCAACACATATACTATTTTACCACAAAGTACATTCAAAATATACTATGAAATTTCCTTTAGGGAGGCAACGAAAGTGCCTGATTGCTGCCATTTCAGAGCCTTCTTATAGGAAGACTGTATCCACACGTATGGGGCAGACCTGCCCCTGTGACTTGCTTTGTGGTAAAGGAAGTCAAACTGCCATAGCATACACCAGGTCTAAATGAGCACTCTAGGAAACACAGTGTGAACTGGCTATTGTTCTTTTCCCCCTGTTAAAGAAACATGTTCCAAAAAAGTACAACTTGGATTTGGAAATAAAGAACATGGCCACAGAGAACAGACCCGGCTGCAGCTCAACCCTGGCCAACAACGACAAAACTTCAGGACAAGTAATATAACCAAGAAAAGACCCTCTCATTGTTAGCCACAAAATATTTTGGTTGTATATTACTTCAGCATATCATAGTGAAAGCTGACTAATTAATAGAAGGTATTTAGAATTCTGGAAATGGTTAAGACAACTAATGGAGAGTACATAGCTTACAAAACTCAATGTAAGTAAAAAGACAGTAGAAGTGGCTCCAGGGTTACAGTTATATCTCTAGCTATCTATGTGAAAATTAGTTTCTACCAAACTTAAATAATTCCAACTGCTAAAAGACACCTAATATAATCACATTTTTTTTCCCACTAGGGATAATGGTTTGCACAGGGCTATACAGTATTAAAAAAGGCTTTTTTTTAAGTCCACAGATTATATAGATCAGAAATAAACATTGTAACAAGGAAATAAGACTGTAAAATTGTGCCCTCTTCCAAAGTATTCTAACTAATGGATTACTAATCATTATATTGATAATAAGAATAAACCCCTGAGAAATGGCAGTATAAAATTTAAGTTAATTTCTTAGGACAAATTACCTTAACCAATTTTGGTAAAAAACTAAAATGTTGGAACCTTAATTCTACATCAACGCTTTCAATCTATGATGAGCTAAATTGTCAGTGCATAATTTAAGATCTGTGTTTTAAAACAAGAAAAAATTAAATTTTTATTTCTGATTATAACATCACAATACAAAAGTTAAATAATTTTTAAAGGCCTCAACAGTTACTCCCTTCATACTTGTATAAAATTTAAAAACTCATTTTCCACTTTATTGTTAAAATCATAACTTAAAACTTTCTAATGAAGTCTAGAATCCTCAAGGAATTTATATTCACTTGAAGACTTTTTAAAATTTTTTTAAACATTCAATATACATATTTAAAAAATCCAGACAATCTTTATTGCGGCTTACCTTGTCAATTTTATCATTAAAGGTGGTTGTTTTTAACTTCTTCCAGCAGTTCATGTGAAATTCTATTTTACAATACTGGCAACAGCTGATTCGTATAAAACCCTGGATTTCAAAACATTTTAATTCACATTTTAAAGATGTCTGTGCACATACACTTACTCATTTCCTCATAGCACACATATTAAGATAAAAAGAACTGTTGCATTCACTTGGCAGATATAACTAGATAATCTATCTCCTTGAAGAGGGATAAAATACTCTGTACTATAAAATGCTGAGTTCTATAGATACAGAACTTGGCAAACATCTTCATTTCCACAGCTGACATCTGCATTATCCTTTACAGAACATCAAATATCTTAACAAACATTTCATCCGATCTACTAATCTAAGAGTAGGACAGTTATCTTATTGAATAAACCAAAAACTTAATCACTTAATTAAGCACAAGTTAGGTTTTTAGGGTTTAATTCAGTGATTACACTGGCCTTTATATTCTTGGACTCAATTTTTACAAGGCATTAGAAATCCAACAAATCAGAGGTAACAATCTCACTTTGTTTCCTATGTTCCTAAGGAAGAGGCAGTTACATGAAACATGGCTGGAGGAGGAAATGAAATTAGCTAGCCTGTCATCTATGGTCACCACACCAGCCCAAAACATTTATTTCAGTGGCCCTGGCTTCCCATGTGAGATGACCTAAAAAAGTCCAGGGTAAGGGGCAAGCAAGGTGATAACTTGGGTGCCTCCAATTACAGAATTTATTCTGGATTCATTTTTAAGGCATGACTTTGCAAGTTAATGTTCCATTGTACATTTCATTTTTTACCTTAAAGTCTGGATCAGTTATGTATATCTGGATTTTGGAATATCCA